ATACCACAAGGGAGTCAGATGATTACAGCCCTATAGATGCATATTGATATATTCTGATATTCAAAATGTTCGCTCATCCCCTAACTACAAATTTCATTAATGTATTGATTACTGCACGCAGACTGAAAGGTTAAGGAAAGTGCGCATACTTCCGCTTTTCTGCGACAATAATTTCACAAGGTTTATACCAACAAATGTGAAGCGCAATATCCTTTCTTATCGCCAATTTCTTAGGGGCATAAAAAGTAGGTATGACGAGCCTTTCGCTGAACCTAGACATCAAGGTTTCCTCTCGCTCTCCCCGTCTCTAGCGCACACACGAACAAACTTGCACGCAGTCAAACGAACCAACATCAGCGCAAACACACACAAAGTCAAATTAACATTTGAAACGCGGACAAAATCAAGCAAATGAAAAAAACATACATACAAATACAGTATGTGCTCACTCTCTCTCTTTGCCCCATCTTCCATACGCACAAGTTGCACGTACATGTATGTATATACACACTATACGGCACACACACGCCCACTCTCTAATCTTACCTCCCCCTTCCCTCCCCCCTACCCCGCCGCTCCCGACGAAAGTGAAGGCTGTGTGGTAACTCCATTCAAGGAAAAGTTCCGTCATTTTTCAGATAAACGGAGACTGCCTGGCACTGTCGGGTACAGCGAGCGTCCCTTTTGTGATTTATGGACAATAATTATGTCCACCTAAACACATAACCTCGTAAATTCATAGCAGAAGGTTTTCATTTATGGATATATAGAACGTGTTGATGATATTGTTACTTTACCGGGGCGATGGAAAAAATATGTTTGTTAAATAAAACCATAAAAAACTATTTTTCTTACCTTGTGATTTTACCAGCATTTCCTCAATTGAGCAACATTTAATCGTTACAAGTCAGACTAACCAAATAATGAAAAAACAAAAGTGAATTGTCCAAATAATGGCTATTTGATATTGCATCGATTGTATCCATCCATCAAAAAATCTCTCGACACTGAATTGCAAAGCAGATAATCGTGAATGGCAATGACCTTCGCGGAACCAATTAAAACCTCCTCCACGGTGTTCCGTCAACCACAACAGAAAGTAAAGACCAATTACATTTCCTGAGAAGTGTGACGTCACAGTCCCCAAGGTTGACCGCCGTCTCCGTCAGCGAGAACTCCGTGCACAGGAGTTTCGTGTATAAAAATCTGACCCTGATTTATTCATTGGAGGGAGAAAAAAGAGACGTGAAGAGTTGTGTTCTCCGACGCCCATATTAGCTGGGTTAGCTTTTTTGTAACAATAAATGTTTTAGCCGGAAGTCTGCACAACCATTCAGCGGACGAATCCTGAGAACTGGCAGCCGTTTTCTTTTGCTTCACTGGCGACTGAGGGACAGCCATCACAGCCATTTACTATTTATGTACATATATGTGCGCGTGTGTGTGTGTGTGTGTGTGTGTGTGTGTGTGTGTGTGTGTGTGTGTGTGTGTGTGTGTGTGTGTGTGTGTGTGTGTGTGTGTGTGTGTGTGTGTGTGTGTGTGTGTGTGTGTGTGTGCAAAGAATATGTATATTCATAAAGGTAATCGTATTAATTGATGGGATTTACTGATGATGACGGTCAGTAGCGTAGTGAAGGGGGCGCGATTCCTCACCGCCTCCTGGCCCCCGACGGAAGGGGCGCCAAATGACGTCCACATATCTAAAAAACATACAGGGCCCTCCCTCGTAGGATCAGGTTCTTGGACCATTAAATGTTTAGTGTGTGAGTGTGCGTTTGTGTGTCTGCAGATTGTAAGGATTAATTATGTTTATATTGTCGAAAATCGAATAAAACATCAATTACTTATAAACATTGACCTGGTTTTATTTCAAGAATTGTAATAAGTGGAAAAAATGTTTTCAAATAGATAACGAGAATGCTAAACTATGAGATTCATTTTATGTGAAAAATGGCTTTAACATTATTTATACACATTGACTAAAATCTTGAGTCAAACGTTGCCAATACTGATTTCGGACATTTAGAAATATATAAAGATTCATTTGGGGGCTTAATATATCTTTCCTTTTTTGATAAATTACTTTGATTTAAGCAAAATTTAGCTACTTTGGTTATACGTGTCTACTAAATAATATCCGTTAATATATCATTGCTTTGAATTGCCATTTTCAATCAGTAATATGTCGGATTAATATTAATAAATTTATCTTCCTGTGTGGAAGTTGATGGTATAAATTAAACATTGATTAAGAGCTCGCCTACTGGAAGCAAGAGTACTATGTAAATACTGCAATCCTTGGTGGATCATTGTGTAGCCCAGACAGAGATGAAACAGCTAGAATAATTAAATACCTTGTACATATTCAGGATTTCATGTGAAGCCATTCAAGGAGAGACCTGTACGCTCTAACTGAGTATAAAGTGGCCAGTGCGTGCAGTAGTGCAGATTGCATACGTCCCCACCGTGGATAAAATACTTTATCATTTTTAGGAGCACA